AAAGCTGAATAAACACAACATTTGCTGAAGAGGAGAAGATACAAAGGAGGAGGGACATGAGATAGTATGGAGGTGGGAAATAACCATTTTTCAAGAGTCAAGATGCTAGGTTAGATGGCCATCCGTTTCCTCCCTGTTTTCCAACATACTGCCTTGAAAAGAACGGGAGCTAGTGCTTGACTGAGGGCTGTTAGAGATGTTACTGAATAATCAGAGGAGATAGCTGAGAATGAAGATGACTGAAGGTTACTGATAACTGAATAAAGATAACCTCACAGGTTTTCATCTGCATAGGGCCAGTTGGCAGCTCAATCATCTGGGATGTTCCACAAAGACCCTGGTTAGGAGTTGCTTTTAGCAGAAAAGCTATGTGCAAATAAAATCTCCAGGTTTGTTAGTCTTAGGCAGTCAGCTTTCAATGTCTAAATGAGCCAAATGTCATAGAGGGCTGTGATTATAAAATGATTCAGTGAATGCAAGGAGAGGTCCTTCATTCATTGAGCTTAATCTAATACTGCACAAGTCAGGTTGCTTTGTTATTGATTTTTACATTGCAGGACTATGCCCCTGAAAAATTGTAATGCAAACTGCCTGAAAAGAAGGGACGTGGGGTGACATCCCATTACCATGAAATAAGATAGAAATCTCAGGAAATAGTGATGGAGTTTTGGTCCTCAAAATGCAAACTTTATGTGGATTGCATGCTACTGTTTATGAGAGATATGACCTCTGGTCATATCAGTTTTGTATGCAAATGTTTTTAAGTCATCTATCATGAAAGGAATTGATTTAGTATAAGTGTTGCCCTATACTTTTCATGAAAAATTCATTGAGCAATTACCAGGAAAAGTAAGAGGTATAAGAGGTGCATGCTAACTGTTGGTAATATGCACCAGCAGCTACAAAATTATGTAATGTATTATTAAATATCTTGCTTTTTAGGAGTGGGCGATTTTGTTACTGGGGTCAATTTCATTAGCAGTATTTCATAGCCTTCTTGATCAAAAATTTCTTTTTGTTATGATTATGAGTGGTATGCAGCATTGGTGTGAATTGCATTAAAGATTGCATACATTAATGAGATGTGTTACCTGCTGGGGAGATCTCTGTGATTGCAGCTTGCTCTTCAAACATGTCTTATCAAAGGAAGAGAAATTGACAAGATTCTTCTTTTGATAAGAAGTAGGGCTGATGGAGCTGCCTTGTGCAGCATCACTATGAGGCATAGATGGTGCTTTGGTGAAACAGTACGATCACAGAACTATTAATTCATGCCATACTTCAGCTGCTTTGCAGTGAAGGAAAAAAACAGCAGCAGAAATATTCCCTTGTTTGTAAGCAAGTGGTCTGAAGCTCTGATTGCCAAGCTAGAGCACTGGTCCAAAAGGAGCTGAAGCAGAGAATGGAATGGAATGGAATGGAATGGGTTACTTACCCCAAAGGAGCTGGCTCTCAGCTGGCCATGTCTTTAGCTTATTAATGGAGATGGTCTCCACCGTATTTGTCTGGCAAGCCCATTATACTGAAGTGTTTTCATCCTTTCTCCACACAATCAGATTTTGCTTTCCCAGGTTTGAGCTGACAATTTGCAGATGGCACCAGTAAAATAAAATACAAATAACAAAACCATGAAGACTTTATTATTCTAAAATACACAAGTGCACAGGAAAGTTCCGTGTTCCCTGCTTCCAGGAGTCAATGGTTGTTCTTCTGCACACTTTAGGATAGCTGGCTCCTCAGCATTTGTGTCAGACTAGGATAGACCTGCATGCAGGACAATAGCTTGTCTACACTCCTGTCTGCATTAACTGAAAGATTTCTCTACAGATAGTTGCAAGGTGATGTCATCCCTGCTGGCTGGTTGGCAAAGGGCAAATCCAAACAGCAGGAGGTGAGCAATCTGCCGTGCAGCCTGCACCTTGTAGTGTCTGCCATCACATTGGAATGACTTCTCACTTTCTTGAACCTCTTGTCAAAACTTGTCCCTTTTGCAGGTCTTCCCCTTAATAGTGTTTTGTGTCTACCTTGAAATGGAGGTGGATTTTATTGTGCTTTCTTGTGAAATAATTGCACAAAAAACCATTTTCAATTTCAGAAAAGTTTTAGTTAGGAGTCCTGAAATAAAATTTCACAGGTTTCTCTTATTCTTTTTTGATCTTTTTTCTTTAATAGTAGATTTTTACAAATGTTTCAAATCAAAATTGTTGAACTAGAAGCTCTACTTAGCGGTTTCTGAAAATATACAAATGGTAAAGATTAATCATACACCCCTAGAGAGATCTAGATGGGAATGGAAATCTGGAAGTGTCTAGTCCAACCCCCTGCTTCAAGCAGGACACACTCATCAGGTTGCTGAGTGCTTTGTACAGGCAAATTGGAAAACTTCTGAGGATGGAGACCCCCTGACCTGTCTAAGCCTGGTCCCAGGACTGCACCAGTCTCATGAGGAAAAAGCTCTTCCCTATGTCCAGCGGGAACTCTCTTTGTTGCCACTTGTACTTGTTGACTCGGAGAAACTTCTGTCTTCTCTTAACTCTTCCATTTAGGCAAGGGATGACTGCAGCCTGACACCCTCCATCTCATCCTTTCTTCTCCAGACTGAACAGACATAGTTCCCTCAGCCTATCCTCGTACATCCCACCCCTAGACCACGTTTAGCGGCCCTGCTCTGGACTTGCTCCAGTACTGGCTTCTTTTCTTTGTGGGGGGCCCTCACACCAGTTACAGTTACAGATACGTATGCTGCCTCACCAGTGCTCTGTAGAGAAAGTAGTCACCTTCTTCCAGCAGCTGGCTACACTTTTGCTCCACAGCCCAGGCTGCAGTAGGCCTTTGTGGACAGACTGTTGAACCATGTTCTGTGTCCTCTCCGCCATAAGTTCCTTTCCTGGTCAGTCATGTCCCAGCTTGCACTGCTGTCTAGGTTTATTCCATCCCAAGGGCAGAAGCTTTCTATTTGCCTTGGTTGAATTCCATTAGGCTATTATCCATATCTTCTAGGTCTCATTCTTTTTTGCTCATCTTCATAAACAGTGTGGCTTCCCAAAAGACTGGGCTGTCATGATATAGAGGAGATGCTTTTTGTTCATTTGTGGAATTCTGGTAGCCATAGACATCATATACTGTAAACTCAATGACTGTGTACTACCCAAACCTGAGTATCTACACAGGTCCTTATCAGGGAAGCAACAGCTGTCTGTCATGAATACATGGCTTGTAGCAGTTTGTTTACATTTTATGTGTTTTCTTTTTGTTTTAAAAAGGGCATGTGTCCTTGCCCTTTCTGCATTAGAGTGCACTTGGCAGATTTTTCTCCAGTTCTTGCTATATTACTGAAATTAGCATGCACCTGTGATTCCATTAATTTATCTGCACACTTTCAAGGTATTTTGTAGCAAAACAGATGCATAGTGAACTGAAGGAAGGGAACAATGCATCTGTCCTTATAATAAAGTATTTAAAGATGCCACCCTTGTTTAAAGGAAATAGAGAGCAATTATGATTCGAAAGAGATTCTTTTCTGCTAAGAAATTGATACTTAAAGCAAGATTTTAAGCATGTAGAGCTATAATTACAGTGCCTGCAGTGGTTTCTGCTCACCAGAAGGCATCACTTCGTCACAGAATTGTTGAACACATCTGGAGGATATGTCCTTGATTGTACTACAAGCACTTCTGGAGGGCATGTTGCACCTGCTAAATAGAAAATGGCAGATTTTAGAGAAGCTGCTTTTAACATGGCAAAATTTGTTTTCCTGTTCTTTCTGTGTCATCTTAAACTGGGTTTCCTTGCTGACATAGACTGACTCCAGTTTTAACACTATTGTCTTTTTCCCTGGACACACTTGGAAGAAACAATGGTTTGGAGCCAGAAAGTTAGGGAGTGGGACATCAAACAAGCTGTAAAAACCCTCTAGTCCTCATTAAATATCTTGAAGTGTAGGAGCTGTCCTTTGCTCTTGTTTTGTCCTGGCTAAACTCTACACTTTTAAAATAGCCTGTATGACATGCTAAAGACAGCAGACACTGAAGGGTCACTGCTGGGAAGAGATGAGGTCAACTCCACCACCTGCTGTACTATACGGCAGTGTGGGTGCTACCTGACAGAGTGGCATTATGTTTGATGGGTTGCTTTCCAAGAGCACACAGGGCAGTTACCATGTCACTATTCTCTTCCCTGTGTAATCATGAGCCTTCCCTCAAAGACGCAGCATACTGTGCAGGCAGGCAGGTAGGTCGTCTCGGAATTGAATGCTTCAGGTGTTGAAGTCACAGACTGGTTTCTGCCTGCAGAAAGGCTACAAGATAGTAGCCTCTGCTCAGTACATTGCAGGTGAAAGTCTTCATGCCATTCACCTTGGGAATGGGCTTATCTGAGGAATTTTTCCCAGCTGAAGCCACCAGGCTCTGCACATAGCCATGTTCTGGGCACTTGCTGCCAGCGTGGGATGACTGTGGTCTGTCCTGAGGTCTCCAGGGCAGAGTGAGGCTCATGGGCTCACTGAGGACCCCAGGGCTGAGATCTCCAGCCTCATCTGAGTGAAGCTCATGGTCTGCCTATGTGTCTATGTGTCTGTGAAGAGAGCCTCAAGCCTCTGACAGGCCAAAACCAATGATACCTTTTGGTCTAGAAGTAATGATTGGCTGTAGTGAAAAGTAAATGTTCACAGGAAAACATTGTGGGGGGACAGGAAAGAGGTTGTTCTCTGGCATACCTCTGGATCAGTTCCAGGGTAAGACAGCCTTGCACCTGGATCCAGACAGCACAGGTGGTGAAAAGAAAATACTAGCTTAGGCTGCCTTTGTGTTGGACTGTCCATGGGGGTTTGCAGCTAGCAGTCACTGTCTGTCAGAGTCTGGCCACTGTTTTGGCATGTCACCCAACAACTGCTTGCATTTTGTTCTCACACATTGCCGTACATCATGAAGGAGAGCCTCTCACGGTGCTGCTCCCCTCTTCCCTATGCAGAAGCATGAACTAATGCTTTGCTTTCCTTGCAGGAGCAGTCAAGGTTTTATGCACATGAAACTGATGAAAACCAAAGAGAAATACATCCTGGGTCAGAACAGCCCTCCCTTCGACAGTGTTCCTGAAGTCATCCACTACTACACCACAAAAAAGCTGCCTATCAAAGGAGCAGAACACTTGTCACTGCTCTACCCTGTAGCTGTACGGACCCTTTGATAACCTAGTCTCACCCCTTCCTGTGGATAGGAGGTGAGAGGTAAGCTGGGTTGCACAGGATTTTTGCAGAAATTCAGTGCTTGAGTCTGTGATGGAGAGTGGCAGCCTGTAGTCTTGGGAACGTGGGTGCTCTGCAGAGTTGTGTATGGGACTGTGTGTATGGTACTCTTACGCTGCAGCATGCCTCTAGAACAGTGCTTCTACATAAGAGAAAGAAAACTTATTTTAGTGCAAGGATAACAGGTAACCTTCCCAGAGCTTCTCTGTGAATGAAAGTACTTCCCAACAAAGGTTCTTCCTCCATGTTTTGAGAAGAATCAACAAGTTCTTCTCAGCAGTAAAACACCAGCAACTTTTATTCTCTTGCTACCCTGAGAAACTTCTCCATGTGAAAGAGTAACCTGCTTCTGAGGGACCCTAGGTTGTTCTTGGTGGACCTGAGAAGGAGCTGCTTAGCAGCCAAGTCCCTGCAGCTCTGGTCACTTAGCTTGGTGGGGTTTGATTTTTTTAAGGCAATTTCTTGATGTAGTCAAATGTTGAGCTCCTATTAGGCACACAATCTGAAAATAATTTTGTGAGAGCAAATCATGGTCAATTATTTATTAATAGGGAATGTAATTAAAAAGTAGTTTGTTATATATTTTTATCCTTTTTGGTACAATAATCTCTTAAGGGTTACTGTCTTCATTTGCAAGTTCCATTCATAGATGCAGGCAGCCAATTCTGTTTGGAGCAGTTACACTGTAATGTTTTAAGTAATTGAGAATGAGTCGTTTTAATATGTGTGTTAGTATTTATGCATGAGGGTGATTGAAGGCTTTTATAAAGCTTTAGTAGGCAAAATCTTCACTTGCTCATTCATCTGGATCAGTTGTCCCACTGAGGTAGCAGACTAACAAGTGTGTGTCACACTGCCTTTCCATAAGATGGCTTTTGCAGCTGTATAAATGAGAACTGCTGTATGTAGCAGAGCAGAATTTGTTTTTCTGGTGTACCAAGGCATTCTTAAAACATGGTCCCTTGACACATACCTTCTGACCAGTGTTTATTTTCACCACGAGCAGAAGCCTCCTGCTGTATTTCAGTCACGGTCAGGCAGAAGCACTGCAGAAGCTGCGCTGTACCTTAGTCCTGCCAACTCAGTGCCCATCCACTTGAGAGATATTTTCTACATTCTCTGTGTGCTCATTGAATGGGATAAATGAAAATAATATAATTGTGCAGAAATTGGAACTGGGGAATCAATAGCCTGTAGTCCTTACTTTGCCCCTTCTCCCACTTATGTGTAGAATGTTCTACATTAACCCATCAGCTGTTGTAGTAGCAAACTGGTCATATGCAGTTTATGTATTTTACAGACTGCAATAGGACTGTGAAATTGTGTGTTATTTAATTCAGCTTTCTTACATAGTATTCCCTTTTATGTATGCTTAGAAAGAAGTGCAAATCTGAAAATTGTAATGGAATAACCCTTTACTGCCTGCAAAAGTAGTGCTTCAGTGTATTGTCTAATCTGGTAAGAACCTCAAGGATGTCCCATATAATGTCATCGGTGATGAATGTTCTGCTTCCTTTTAAGCCTGCGTTGTTCTTTATATGACATCCAACACAGTTTGAACAGGAGTGGATCACATGTATGTGAGGAGCCCAGTGTCATTCTGTGCAGCAAGAGTAGTAGGGCAAACTGCCCCCATCTCACCCAGAATTTGAAGCTGCATTGGAATAGGTTCTTACTGGTTTTCTGAGAGCAAGGTGACATGATGGAGTACAAAGAGACAACATTCCTCTCCCAGTGTAACCCAACATCCCCTTTTTCACATACTCGCCTACCTGTGCTATTTATTTCCCTAAAGTCTTTGCAGAACTCTTCATTCTCCTCTTAACATCACCCAACTGGCAAGAGCATACAGGCACTTTTAAGATAGCATATTCTTCTCTCACCAGAATAGGAGTTCATGAAGGTGGCAGAGCTCGCAGAGATTAGGAATCAGATTGCATCTGCTGCTGTCTGAGTCTTTGCCTGTGGGGGTCTCTGGCAACTCCGTCATGCCTCTTGGGACAGAAATATGTCATATTTCTTCTTTTGCATGTTGAAGTGCATTTTTGAAAATCTGGGATTGTTGCTGTTCTATGGTCTGTTTATCTTCTTCAGTAATGGAAAAGTAAGCCCTACTCTTTCTAACAACAATTACCAGTAGAAACCAACAGCATCATTAACCAAGGCCTTGCCAAGCTTTCTTAAGTACATTGTCTTTAGTTCATGGAGATGACTGTTGTACCAAATCTTTCTTGTCATGGGTCTGATCAAAAGTCAGCTGGTGCCACTTTATTGCTGTCTGCAGATTTTGGGTTGGGATCCCTTGCTTCATACAAATCAGGTCAATATGCATCACACAAATGTGTATACAGTTTATTACAGCTTCAAAGATCAGATTAGGGTTCTTGGTTGAGCAAAAGGAAATCATATCAGAAAATGTTGGTTGTCTGTGGGAAGGTTTTTTTGATTATTTTTAAAAAATACTTTTATAAAATACTCAGTAATTGCAGAATAAATAAAACCAGGATTTTGTTTGCACTGTAATGTTGTATTTGTTTATTTAAGTGATTGTATGATATTTTTCCAGTGAAGGAATATTCTTCCCAGACCTTTTAATGTACAGTGAAAATGCAGTGTGTAGCATTGCATATAGATGGAAGATCTCGTAGCGATCATGCCTATATAACACATTAAAAGTTTATTGAAAAAAGAATTATAAACCTCTTCCTTTTCTTCCTCTATCAATGTGTACTCAGATTGTCTTGAACAGCTAATAGCTGAAACAGCCTTTCAGAACAATTTGTGTTTGTGTGTCTTAACTGTGTATTGAAAGTAATCATTAGGCTATAATCTGGTCTGGAGTCTGGAAAATAATATGGCTCAGTTCTGCCCTGAGTAATTCTTTTGGCAATGTACACCTTTGCAAGGGCTGTGCCAAAACAACACCTGTGCATGTGTGAATGACATTGCTGTCCAATTGCTTGAGGTGCTCAAGGAATCCAGTTATTGCTGTTTACAGCATAACACTGATGAATCACTTTTTGCAGACTTTATAAGAAGTGTTAATTAGGCTTCTATTTTGATGAGTATTTCAGTGTGATGAAAGCCCCCAGGGTGTGAACATCTGTATGATAGGTAGGAGAGTTTTAGTGGCCAAGATTACATCTCACAGTTCCTTCCATAATTGGAAAAATTGCTAAAGTTTGTGAAGTATAGTCATCACCATGGGTTCTGTACTTGGTAATAGTTTATTCTCTGACTGAAATTAAGTCTTCAGAGCCAGGATGCAAAGCGCAGGGATCTCTTAAGTGCAAAGATACAAAACACGCATTTCCAGCTTCTCAAAGAAAATGGCCTGAGTCTGTGCTCTGAGGGAAATCAGTTGCTGCTTGGAGGATGACACTTTTATGTGCTGCTTATTATTATGGCTTATTATTGTGCCCAGTAAGGTTCAGGATTTGCCCTCTGTCTTGCTGTCATGGCTCAAGTTGGCAACACAAACACTGTGTGGCAATGTTTGTGAAGGCTGCAAATGCCATCTTTCATCCAGGCTCTGATTCCATATTCACCCTGCTGCACTGCTAAGCTACACTCTGGGGTACTCAGTCGTCTGCTGCTGTTAGTTATTCATGCTGTCCTCAGGTTGTTAAAAGCCACCCAGCACACTGCTGCACTAGCTTCTTGGAGACAGGGAAAAACAAAACAGAAATGAAACAGACCTGTCTGCACTCCTGGTCTGAGCAAGGGGAGAAGGGAATGAACAGTAGACAGTCAACTGTTTTTCATGCATTCTTTCCTTTTTAATGATCTGCAATGATCCCATGTAAAACACTGCAAATTACTTTGTTGTATTACTTCTTGCTGGAGTTCCCAGTAAGAAGTGAGGAAGAAACGAAGGAAGGAAATGGCAGCAGCTGAACAAAGTTGTTGGTCTGAAATGAAGCAAATAGAAGTCCTACTGAAAAAGGAAGTTCATAGATTGCAAGGGATGACCGTGTACAACCCATTTTCTGCAGCATGTTATTGCCTGTCTCAGGCCTTGAACTTACTCTGAGAACAATGTACCCACAAATCAGAGTTGCTGTGTTGACCTCAGTGCTCTGGAGCTTGTAGTTAGTTCAGAGACAAGATCAATCCAAAAGTTGCCCGTGCTTTCTCAAGGGTCTTTCAGGGTCCCTGGATTGCATTTATTGCTGTTGACAGTTCCAAGACACAAATACAGTAGCTTAACTGCAGCTTTGCAGGGCCCAGTTTTCTTTCTAAGCTTGGTTTGGAGATTGGTATTACTGTGACATTACACTGGATGCAGGTAACAGTTGAGTGTTGATACCTGCAGTAGTAGCATAGGAAAAACAAAACGTTGCGTTCTATGCCATACTATCAGAGAATTCCTTGGTCCTGGTATTGTCCTGAGTGGTACACAGGGCCATCAATGCCTACCTATAAGCAAAGGTGATGTGGCATTTCTGTCATTGATTTCTATTTCTGGCATCTATGCAATTACTACTGCATAGCCTACAGCACTATCAAGCCAAAGAAAAATCTCAAGGTTCCTACTGCCAGCCACACCACTCAGAGAAGTAACTTTGGGGGACTGATATTGCATCTTCCCTGTTTTGTTTCAAGCCATTTTGCTACCAGACTGTTTACCTGTCAGCTAAAGATCAAAGTGTACACGGCTTGTAGACCAAGAGTTTATTCAAGAGTAAACCCAATTAGTCTCCTATGTCTGTGTCTTGAACAGACATCCTGGACTGGCTCCATCTGGCAGTCTGTATTTTGGAGATGACCGTTAGCTGTTGATAAACTAGAGGGAAATTCAGAGGGAACTATACAGAGTGAGCTTGACTGGCAGAAGGAATGGGCCAGCATGAACCTCCTGGAGTTCCATAAAGGCAGTCCTGCATTGGGATGCACTGACACCTTGCAAAAGGACAGACTGGAAGGTCACCAGTAGGAAAGGAGTAACAAAGAGCTGAACAGAAGTCAGCAGTCCACCTTTGCAGTCATGAAGGCCTACTGTAGTCAGGACTGTGTAGTGGAAGTGTAGCCA